TCGCGGTTTGTTGCATAATTTGCATGTCCTGTGACTTATAGGCCCAAGCGACGTATTTATGGATTTTTCCCCCATATTTATAAACCAATTTTTGGCTGAGATATGACCATTTTCATTAATTCTGACTGAAAATATTGAACATTTTCAGCTGCTAGATGGCACTCGAGAAGTATAGCATGCCGTTGTGTCATGTAATAGGTAAAAGTGGCTATTAATGACGCAATCGGCTTGCCACAGTTACTACCTTCGTCCAGCTCACCTGGAACAAAATTGGTTTCATTTTGCTGCACCACCCCGACAAAATGCAGCTGATTTGACCATTGAAGTGCATTTCTGAAGTAAAAGTTCAATTGAGACACACTTTTACTGTAATGTCGAACAAACAAATAATTGTTTTAGGTGCTTAACTTGTTAGATTTCAAAGAAATGCGCAGCGTTCTTCCTTGCTGATTTCCTCCCTCAGAGCACGCTCCCGGAGCACCGAGGCATCATATACTTTTGAAAATGGAGCTGATTTGACTGTCAAAGTGCATTTATTAAGGAAAAGTTCAACCGAGACACACCTTTACTATAATTTCGAGCAAACAAATAATTGTTTTTAAGTGTTAATCTTGTTAAATTCTTGTTAAAGTCCTCCCGTGCACCATTTGGCAGCCAATCGATTTTTGGCACAACACCGGCCCACATTTCCAAAGTTCGGCCCACATCTCCGGGTTGTCAGCGGTGAAGCGTAACAAACGCGACGCGTCAGCGGTGATGCATAATAGATGAAACGTATACAGCCAAGCAACGTATTTATGGATTTTTCCACTTTATTAGACAAATCTGGACTGATACAACTTATAGGTGGTGCAACGTGTACAGCAGAAAATACAGTACTAAAACAAATATAGCGCTCCTACTTCGTGGGTTTTCACCTATTGTAGGGATGTTCGGAAAGTAACCCCCTCAATAAACCAGGGACTACTATACACAAAACCTGCTTATTCTCTGAGGTATGAACACTCAGGGCATGTGTTTGAGAGTCCTTTAAGTAACCCTAAAACCAAAAGACTGATTGAGAACATATTAACCTTAAGGCATGATGTGAATGCTGCACAAAAATGACACATGATAACTTTGTTCATATTTTATATATATATTTAAAAATAAATTTTTATAACCATATATGTGAGGCCACTAGAACACACCAGACCACTTACTTCGACTTGAGGTTCGATGTAGCCACCTCTTTCTGCTGTTTGCCTCTGAACTCCGCATTACTCTTCTCCTGAACACACACACACACACAATTAGTTTTTATTATCAGTGGAACGCCCACACTATGAAAGCAAGTGACACATTCAGCCTGAATTATCAAATGAGGTCCTCACCCAGCTGCATTGGGACGTGGGTCACAGATATAACGTATGTGGCTCTAATAAAGTGGTTTATCAGCTCTGACAAAGACCGCTGCGTCACACAAGTTACTATCCACGTCTCTGCAGACGCTGTGTTCAGCTTTCTGCTGGGATGTGATGTGGCACTGATTGTGACCAGCGTAAAAACAGTGCAAAAAAACATTGTTTTACGGTACTTCACAAAGTGTGTGTGTGTTTAGAGTTCTCACTGAAAGTAAACAACAATATTAATGACACATAAGACTCAAATACAGGTTTGACTGCATTTAGCATCTGTGCTGTGTGTGTGACATGCCTACAAAAATATGTGGTTTGAAGCTAATCATTCAAGAACACCTCACTGTGGTGTGCCCATTTTGAAGCACAGCACTGATTTGGTGATTTTTAACATGTAAATTTAGCATTCTGGTGCAAGCCAACAAGAAAATTAGGGAAAAACATGCTTCAGGTAAAAAATACATTTACTAACATATTCTAATTTAATAAGGCCAAACATAGGAAAGATGGCGTCAACAAAAAAATAAAAAATAATCAACCAGAGCATTTTGCTAAAAGCAAAAACTAATTTCTTAATGTTCTGGGCGTAGACAAGCCTTTCAAGGGCCTGCTGCTTGGCCATGTGCCTTTTTAGTGCATATTGGTATCAAAAGCATTTGTAATATGGGGGGGGGGGGCAATACGGGGGGGGGGTCTGGGGGTCTTCCCCCAGAAATTTTTGAATAAAGTAGATGCCATTTCCTGCATTCTGGTGTATTTTAACGGGTTGTTAAACATCTACGTTTACCACATATGTTAACACTTGATTCAGTAATTATTTTAGAGACAGAATCCTCGTTCAAATAGTCCATACAAGACAAGACAGAACTTTATTGATCCCGCAGGAAATTGTTGTGCCAGAGTTTCAGTTCAAAGTACAGTACATGTGGGTCATATATGCAAGATATATCAGGATATATGCATCATCCTGTTTTTAAACTCACTCCTATGGCTAAAATAATTAAATTAATGTGACACAGTTTATCACAAACCAGGAGTTTAGGGGAGCACTTGACTGTTATTTTGTTTATTTTTTATTTACCGGTGGTTTTATTTATAACACGTCATTGCCATAATCAACGGTGACACTCAACTTCATATTTAAAAATCAGAATATTAACTTTATACAATGAACAGGTGCAATTTTGATAACCACCAACACTGAATTTAGGGAGGCACTTTTCTTTTTTTCTGATTTAGTGATAGAAATGACATGCATCATGCAGCATTCACAACAACAAAAAATTACACTGTGACAATCAATAGTGACACAAAATTAAAAAAGCACTTTTTAGTCATTTTTGTCAACCTGCATGTAATTATTAAAACTAAATAATTTACAGGTTCCTTCCTACCTTGGTGCCACAATTTCTACTACTTCATAACTTTTATTGTCCTTTCCTCCATAATCCACTTGGAATAACATCAATCTCTTTCTCCCGTTGTTTTCCTTTGCACTATTCCTTCCCCATCACTGATTTTACCTATTTTACTTTCCAGAAAACTTGTGTTACTTGGGTACTTTCTCTCTAACAAAAAAAAAAAAAAGTTTGTAGGCACAATCATCCAGGTAGATAACAAAAATGGTTAAATCGTGTCATCTGGACCAGTTTCTGTAAGGGAGAAACTGGTCCAGATGACACGGTTTAACATTTTTTTTCCTCCCTAACACCATCTTTCTCTGTCAAGGTATTCTCTAGAACAGTGGTTCCCAACCTTGGTCCCTGACGAACACCATCCTGCATATTTCAGTTGTTTCCTGCTCCAACGTGTCTGATTCAGTGATTTAATTACTTTCTTTAGTTCTACAGAAGCCTGTTAATCATCCATTCACTCAGATCAGGTGTGTCAAAGCAGGGAAACAAGTAAAACATGCAGGACGGTGTTCCTCATGTTCCTCAAGGACCAGGGTTGGGAACCACTACTCTAGAACATCATCAGATGGACTTTTCAAATCTTAGGGCAAAATCTTGGTGTATGTGGCAGACAGCTAAAATATTGACGTAGCGCTAAGCTAGCAGCACGCAATACAGATGCGCTAGCTAAGATGCTACAGACATAGCGCTCCGCTTGTCTTATGTATCCTAACAACCCCCCACCCCCACCCCCACCCCACCATCATCACCACTGCTTCCCCAGTGGACAACTGCCGGCACTAACATAGTGCTAAGCTAGCACTACGCAAGTCCAGTCAATGGGAAATGATGCCATGTACCACACCTCTGGACCCCACCCAAAAAAACTCTTCAGAGGATTCAAGTAAGTGACATATTTTGTTCACCGAAAAGCGACAAGTTTGCAGATATGTGTTATAGACAGCTCTTTGAATGACCTCAGTTTGGCTAGAAAACGTCTGAGATGAAAGATGGTTTTAACTCCACTCATACGAACTGAGAATCATTCTGGTCAAAATTAAACTATTTGCCTGAGGCTCAAAGAGCTATCTGCAGCAGGTAAGATATTAGCTGCTCATAACCACGTCACCATTTCAAAAGCGCTGACAAATCACCTTAAAAACTGTTTAAAAATAAAACCGTTGAGATTAAAGAATAAACATCCGCTACTGCACTTTTTGCACAGACTGTTTAACGGTGTGTAATATTGTTGTGCACAGCACGTTTCAAAGGTCGGCTGTGCATTTTCAACCACATTCATATAACTTGTGGCAGCGAGATCCTTTTACGATCATAATTTATTATACCGGTCATAGTTTCACCACTTGCCTGGCAGCTTTTATGGAAAACAAAACTAACTTTGTATCAACATCACAATACAGTGAACTGAGGAGGAAGTAAATCTATTCCAAGAAATAATCTTCACCAACTCATAAATCATTTACAGCATCGTGTAAGAAATATAGAGCATTGAAGTCATGTACGAAAGGTCGGAATAAAATAACATCACAATAAAGAACTTCCTTGTTTTGTCTGAAACTCAGAGATCCTTCAGAGTGAAGACCAACCATGCGGCCAGTTCCACTCACACCAGACTGCACCTGTTTGTGAGGCACCTTTCTGTTTTTCTTTTAGTGTGTGTGTGTATTTTTGTGCATGTGTCAGGGACTGTAAGTGTGTATGTGCGAGCAGACAGCGCAGTCGTTGGACATAAACTGAGAGGCCTGTTCGCCTGAGCTGATGAGCTGCCAGAGAAAGGGTTGAGTCTGTGCAGATGACAGCCTGTCAGTGGACTAGCAGTGTGTGTGTGTGTCTGTGTGTGTGTGTGTGTGTGTCTTACCAAGTTCTCTTGGTTGCGTGCGTTCACTCGATTTTCATCCCCTCTCATGTACTTCACCTCCTCCACTCCCTTCATCTTGTATTCATCTGAAAAAGACAAGAAAGAGCGGGCACGATTGAGGCAGAGGATTCAACAGTCAATTAGTCAATTATTTTATTAGTACAAACAAGGACTAAATGAAAAGTTGACATAATACGACATGGCTGAAAATAGTTTGTCCTTGTCATATTAGCTGTGCTGCATCATCATCACATTATATTAACATGACTGATGATTTTTCCATTGACAGTAGATGTGATTTGTTCGAGGTAATCCGATAAGTGATAAGATGTACATGACAGGTGAAGGAGAAGCAGAGGATTCATCTTCTTACCATTTTAGCTAAAAAAAAATATGCAACTGAAGACGCATCAAAGAAAACACTGCAAGACAAGATGCATGATGCATATGTGTTTAAAAAACCTGAGGTTATAGAAAATGCATAAAAATAGATGAAAATAAGAAGGCACTGATAAGACGGAGCAAAATGGATGGGATTAAAGAGTTTAACAGCCTCTTGGCTGCAGGGATAGATTAGACAGTTAAGACAAACTCTCTGCTGTGGGGAAAGTGGTAACTGGGTCTGTAAATCAAGACTTTTAACATTGAACCAGCAAAATCAAACATTTTAAGATTTTCAACTTTCTATTAGTGCTAATAACAGAAATAAAGGGTTTACAGTCTTACAGTACACTTTAGGTGATGTAAAAATAATTCCAAATATTTAATTCACTGGCTAAAATAAACACTTGATGGTTTAGTATTGGTGCGCCCAAAAATAAATCAGGGCCCTGATGGATCACTACTCTACAGCTGCAAATAAAATGAACATTCGTTGAAGGAATGCCGTCTGCTTTTAAGGGGTTGACATAAGGACATTTTTCAGGTTGTCCAGTGGACAACTGCTTTACAGAATCTGGTTGTCCACCAAAATTTTGGGATGGCCACAACCTTTACAATAAAGACGGGAAAAAATATAAATGCAATTGTACCAATCTACAATGTAATTTATTAATTATATTGAACTATATAATAATGTGTTGTATAATATAATGTATTGGCATTAATGTATATTCTCATACAATGGTGAAATTGGATCTCTGCATTTAACCCATCCACCACCAGGTGGAGCAGTGAGCAGCTATTGAAAGCGTTGGGGAGCATTTTGGGGATAAGGTGTGCTGCTCAGAAACACCACGAGATGTGCAATGACTGGGGATCGAACCTGGGACTTTCGGGTCCCGAGTCGGCTGCCCTGCCTCTACACCAACTCGGCTTACTATATATAAATGTTCTCAGTCAGCCATCTTGTGGCCTGCTTGGAATTTCCAAGCTACTGATTGGCAGACTCATTCAGGAGCTGCTCGAGTGGAGCTTCCTTGTTCTCCTCCTCCTCCTCATCAGAATTTGCAAGAGAGGCACTTACAGCAAATTGAAGGCAGACGTTAAAGCAGAAAAAAAAAATCTTCTGACTGGTGGCAGCATGTGCTCTCAGATCCAAAGTTTGGTCTCACAATCAAGTTGCACATGCCTGTATGATAATACATAAATAAATAAAGTGCTATGTGTTATCATTGTATGCTCCCATACAAAGACGAAATTGGCTCTCTGCATTTAACCCATTGGACCTGGGATACACCCAGGTGGAGCAGTGGGCAGCTATGTAAGCGCCCGGGGAACAATTCGGGATTAGAATTGCGCCGCTCAAGGTGGCTGCATGTTGGAGCAGCTCTGTTACTTTCATTTTGAGATTTTGCTTTTGGAAACTTTAATTCCTCTTTTTCTGGATGTAAATCACAATTTTTTGGATTGTTTCATCTGGTATCAGATGCTGTGCAGCTGGAAGAAATTTTACTGAAACTTTTTTAGTTTTGGACATTTGTTATGATGCGTAACCATGGCAACAAGGCAGTTTTCTACAACCAACAGCAGCTGATTAACTTCTCAAAAGCTCAAATAATATCTCAACTACAGCCCCAAATCTCGTGAGTTGAAAAGGATGTTCTGTGGACGCATTCTCATCTGCCTACCAGCTGTGCTCAAGTGCCTGACCACTGAGATCCTGGAGCTGGCGGGAGACACGGCTCATGGCAGTGGAAGGACAAGATCATCCCTCGGCACCTACAGTTGGCTGTCTGCAGCAACGAGGAGCTCAGCAGACTGCTGGGAGGAGTGGCCATCGCTCTGGGAGGAGTTCTGCCCGGCATTCGGGCAGTCCTACAGCCCGAGGGGAACCGAGAGGCCAGCCGAGACTGGGTGGACGGATCGGACGGCATCTGCAGCCAGTTTCTTAGGATCCACTGTGGGATGGACCTTTATAAGAGATTCTTCCTGCCATCAGTATCTATAACATCTCTTGATGAAATGAAGATAACGAGTTACAACATCAAATAATTTCCCTCTGGGATTAATAAAGTATTTTTGAATTTAATTGAATTGATTAGGTGTGCTGCTCAGAGACCTCACGAGATGTGCAATGACCTGGGATTGAACCCAGGACCTTCAGGTCCCGAGTTGGCTGCCCTGCCCCTACAACATCGCGACCCCATAATGATGATGCTCCGAACATTCTTCCTCTTCTTCTTTCGGCTGCTCCCTTCCTCAGGGGTCGCCACAGTGAACTAAGTCGCACAAAGACTTGGCAAGTGTTTTTATGACGGAGTCCTTCCTGACACAACCACAGACCACCGAGCTACCACACCCCTCTGTGTGGAGCAAAGAGCTGCTATCTAGGGCATCCAGGGGAGCAGATGGTGGGGGTTAACGGTCTTGCTCAAGGGCCCAGAGTGGGCCAAATAAGGGTGGAGGCAGGTGTTGGTGTTTCACCTTTCCCACCCACATTTTGATGTTGTAGCTGATCTGGCGACCTTCCAATCACAGGCCCACCTTCTCTAATCTCTGCGCCACCACTCCCCGATGATGCTCCGAACATATTAACAATTAATACAAAATTAGACTTTAGATACAAAAGTATCGGGGAGGTCGGGGCGCAACGCGGGTGGAGGGGGAGGGGGTGACACACACACACACACACAGAATTACATTATTGTTTGCTATATATAAGAGCAAGCAGTTAAGCATCAAAACATTTCTGGAAAATACTTTCAGAGTTCTTTAAAATAATCAAGAGCAACTGATGCCCCCGGGCTTTATCTGGCCTACATGTCTGTTCTATCTGGTCAGCAAGGCATAACATTTTTGATTGATTATACTCAATCTGATAGAAAAATGGTTGCAAAGCAGCTAGTAGGAATACCGGTAATTAGTAAGAGTGTTTTCACACCTAATAGTCTGGTAGACTCGGTTCAATTGTGGACCAAAATTCAGAAAATCGGTTTACATTTCAGCTGGTGCGGTTCACATTCACACTGCACTGAGTCAGTCGAGCCAACCTGTTCCCCCACCTCGCTTGTGATGGTGCTGCACCAAGAACTACTGAAGGAAACAACACAAAAACCTCTGAAAAAGACACTTCTTCTTCTTCTGGAAATAAAAACAAAAATGGAGCGGCATCAAATTTTAGTGGTTTTATGATTTCTGTTTTGTCATTTTTCAACAATGGACTCAGCATGAGAGGAAGATGAGGCAGAAGACCATGGAGAATGTTGTTTTTCACACAAGGCGGCTGACGGCTCCGTATGAGGTCAGAGAAATGCGTGTGTGTTTGTCCTGCGGAGCGGGGCCCCATCTGTTTACATTCATACTGTACTCGAACCGCGCTGGCGTTCGCTTCTACCGGACCGAGACCTAGGTTTTAGCCCGGGCCAGCGTTCGCCTTTTTGTTCCATGACAGAGTTCAATGGCGTGTTCACACCTCCCTAAACGAACCAGACTTTCTAGGAAAACGAGCTAGAGTTCGATTAAAGCGGACTAAACAGGGATGGTATGAATGAACCCTAAATACTAGGTTTCAGTCTGGTTGAAGTGAACTCTGGCATGGTTCGAATGCAGTGTGAATGCAAGCAGACCGAAGACTGCTCCAAAAGCAGGAAGTGGACTAAAGCGCAGAGCAAACAAATGCACGTTTCTCTGACCTCATATGGAGCCGTCAGCTGCCTTGTGTGGAAAAACAATATTCTCCATGGTCTTCTGTCTCATCTTCTGCTCATGCTAAGTCCATTTTTGAAAAATGACAAAATATAACTCCTAAAACTGCTAAAACTTGATGCCACTTCGTTTTTATTTTTATTTACAGAAGAAGAAGAAGACGTGTCTTCAGAGGTTTTTGTGTCTTTCAGTAGTTCTTGGTGTAGCGCCCCCACAGGCGAGCAGGGGAACAGGTTGGTTCAACAGGTTGGTTCGACTGCACAGTGCAGTGTGAATGCAAACTCACTAGCTCAAATGTAAACAAAAGGTCATGAATATTGGTCCCGAACCGAGTCTACCGGACTATCTGGTGTGAAAACGACCTTAGTATCAGTATCAGTGCCCAGCTGACTCCAGAGCTCAATGTAGACAGAACTAACCTCTCAGATAATCTAGTTTTTTTCCACAGGAAAACTTTAACCTGAAAGAGTTAAAGGAATGCTTTGTATCTGCCCAAACTGGCTGTGCTGTAGAACACATATAGAAACTGAACTTACTCAAACAGGAACGCAGTCTTGGTTAATACATTTGTCAAGTTCTGCTCAGCCCTTAAATGTCAGCTGTGACACAGGTCTGTTGTTGAGTCACTCAAAACTGTTATATTTGCTTTGATTCTAAATTATCTCATTTAGTACTTGTCCTTTTAAACTTTTGTTTCTCCACATTCATACAAAGGAATAATGTGAAAAGTAAATTACTACTTTCTGCTAATCTACCCAATGGCTCATGAGATATTTTGCTGACAGTCACACAAATGCAAGCAAAATGAATCCTCACTAACTTTTATAGTTGCACCATTGAGAGCCTGCTGACAGGCTGCACCACAGTGTGGTACGGGAACTGCATCAGTCAGAGCCGTAAAGAACTACAGAAGGTGGTGCAAACAGCAGAGGGCATCACTGGTAGCAGTCTCCACACCATTCAGGACATCTACCACAACCGATGTCTGCATAAAGCACGC